CGTCCGTCGTTGCCACCACCGTCATCGTTGCCACTGTCAGCATCTCTCCCCCTTCCTTCGCATCCTCGTCCTTGTTGTTCGTCGATCCTCCCGCCCCTTCCTCCTCCACACCCTCCTCTTGGCAAGCATGTCATTTGGATTCGCTTCGTCCTCCTCTTGCCCCCCCCCCTCCCGCCCCCTCTGTTTCCCCCACCTCCCAGGAACGCATCTGGCAAGGGCCCGGCCATCTACGACGTCATCGTGGTGCCAGGAGGAGGCCCACAGCGATGGGCGCGGGAGGAGGAAGGACGATGATGAGGGGAGACGAGAAGGTTGGCAAGGAGGGTGGGGGCGGGGGAGGGAAACATGATTATGATGTTGATTGAGAGGGGTAGGGGGGAAGGAGGAGGAGGAGGACGAGGAGGAGAACAGCAGGAGGAATATGAGGAGGAGGAAGAGGAGGGGAGGTGATGAGGAGACGGCCACCCATCATGCAGCAATTCCCGCCAATATGCAGCTGGCGATGTGACAGAGACGGAGTACCCCTGGCGACACGGGCCGTGCTTCCTGTGCCGAGGGGCAGTGGTTGCTCCGTCAGGCCAACTAGCCTTACCGTTCTTGGACGGGACCTCCCACCGCTGAATCGTATCTAAGGCTTCTTTTCCTGCGAGGTCGGGGCGTCGCTTACACGGGCGGGCGATGGCTGCCCCCAGCCTTCCGCCAGTGGGCGTTCCACGCATGTGTATGACTGTATGTATGAGTGCGGATCTGTACGAATGCATGTGTGAATGAATGTATGCATGTCGATAAGCATGTGCTTGCGTGTATACGTGTGTTTATGGACGTTTGCGTAAGTATGCACGTATGTATATTTGCTTGTATACATGTATGTGTGTATGCGCGTACGGATGCATGTATGTATGTATGTATGTATGCATGTATGGTTACCTGTTCGTTTGTTTTGTATGTGTGATTGTAGTTGCGTACGCGTGATAGGTACGTATTTGTGTATGGATGTTGGCTTGTATGTATGTATGTAAATGCATTTGTGGTGCTGTTTTGTGTTGTGTTGAGTTGTGTTGTTGCGGTGTGTTGTGTTGTGCCGTGCTGTGCAGTGTTGCAAATATGTATGTTGGTGTGTTTTTCCCTACCTAGGCTCTGCCTAGAGGGTTCTTACTCGCTGCGCTTAAAGGGGCCGGGCAGTGGGCTTCGCCCCGGGCGGTTCCCCCGGTCCCCGCCCCGCGGTTCCCCCAGTTGCGCCCCTTAGCTGTAGCTTTAGCTTTAGGTTTAGCTTTTGCTTTAGCTTTAGGTTTAGCTTAGCTTTAGCTTAGCTTTAGCTTAGCTTTAGCTTAGTTTTAGCTTAGCTTTAGCTTAGTTGTAGCTGAGCTGTAGCTTAGCTTTAGCTTAGCTTTAGCTTAGCTTTAGCTTAGCTGTAGCTTAGCTGTAGCTTAGCTTTAGCTTAGCTGTAGCTTAGCTTTAGCTTAGCTTTAGCTTAGCTTTAGCTTAGCTTTAGCTTAGCTTTAGCTTAGCTTTAGCTATGATGTAGCTTAGCTTTAGCTATGCTGTAGCTTAGCTCTAGCTTAGCTGTAGCTTAGCTTTAGCATAGCTGTATCTTAGCTTTAACTTAACTTTAGCTTAGCTTTAGCTCAGCTTTAGCTTAGCTTCAGATTAGCTGGAGCGTAGCTTGAGCTTAGTTTTAGCTTAGCTTTACCGTTACTGCTAATGCTGCTTTCCTAGGGGCTCCAATTCGCAGGTAGGGTCGCACTGGGATAATTATGTGCATACTGTAGTGCAATGTAACGTAGTGCAAGTCTGTATATGTGTGTATGTATGTATGTATGTATGTATGTAATGTATGTATGTATGTATGTATGTTTGTATGTATGTATGCATGCATGTATGTATGTATGTATGTATGTATGTATACATGTATGTATGTATACATGTATGTATGTAAGTAGGTATGTGTGTATGTTTGTTGGGCAACGGGCAATAGAGGGCGGGGACCCCGAGGAATCCTGGGAGACCGAGGGCACTCCGAGGAACGAGCAACGTAATAATACGAGGCCCTGGGGGCGGGGAACTTGAGGAACCCAGGAAAGCCGACGAAACTTCGTGGAACAGGCACAATAATATAAGGCATAAGTTCTTCAAACACTGAACAAGAACCCTTAGGCAAACCCAATTGGGGAACAGGGGCATTGGCGAGAAAGCTGACGACGCAATGACGAACCTCTTTTTGGCAGAACCCGCACAGAGCCAAACATTGACACCATGAACCAGCACTTATCAGCAAGACCGGCAAGCCTGCCACCAGTCGTTCCTTTTCACGTCACCGACCAGAACAGCAACGTCCTGGATTCAAGCGAAGCTATACCCCTCTCCTAATACCTGACAGACACATTGGCAAACATGGGAGGACGAACGCTACACCCACGAAGCGACAACATGATCTTCGAGAGGAGCATTTGCCACATGACACCACAGACGCGAGCCGCATTCCACGCTGGCGAACGAGACCCAAAAGGAGACCCCGCACTGTTGGTCGAGGCTACTGGTGAGGAGAGCAGCATCCTGAGGAACTACAGCGTCGAGTACAGAGCTCCGATTTACCACTTTGACGAGGTGTACGAGAGGCCCACCATCCAACGGAAATTCAAAGTGGCCGACGACTGATGAAGTACAAGCCGACCTACCAGCGGACGTCACCCACGTGGGCATCGAAGGACAAGCAGTCCCCCAAAACGTGCTCGACGCAATTGAAGCCATTGCAGTCACTCGACCACCACGACGAGAACCACCACCATGGAAGCCGCCTGCGTCCATGATAGGTTACGGCGTAGCCAGGGCTGCAGTGGACGTCATCACCGACCTCATGTCCCCCCTTTCTCCGACATGCGAACCGAGGCAACGAGGCAGTTCGCCAGCATTGAGACCTCCTAACACGACGACCTTGAGGACGAATACCAAGCAGAGCTTGAGATGAAAGGACTTCACGAACAAGACGCCGACTACCGACATAATACCGCTGACTCTCAAGACGCAGCTGGCCAAGCAAGACCGACACAGACCACGCCAGCGCGCCACCTTGCAGCCGAAGACGACGAACGGGGTGCTAACGTCTAACCAAACGCCCATGACACCAAATACAGCCAATCTTCCACCACAGACATGGTTGCACCAACTCTTCTACTCGCCAGACTACGTTACATGGGCCGAGCACGCACTGACACAAGTCCTGCAGAAAGCTAAACTGCCCAGCGGGCTGATGACGTCACCAGACCATCGGCTGCCCCTACCACGCCCATGAGCCACCTGCGAAGACCAAGGCGACGAGCACGTGTGGAACGCCCAGGCATGGCGTTACAACTCGGGCACCATGGAGACGACGTGGGACGACCCAGGCAACGTGTTACAGCCCACGGGATGGATGCGAGCCTTGTCATGCGAGAACGACGAGTGCTGCTACGACGGCAAGGGACACTTCTTGAAGTGCCCACCCATGCCTCGCGGGACCGCGTGCAACCTCTGCCTCCACGGGCATCGCGCCAGGGTCGAGATCTTCATCGCCACAGGCGCGATCATACTACGTCGACATCCCGGCCCAAAAAACAATCATGCGGTATTAGAGCCAGCCAGACTTCAGGAAGGTCGTGGGCAACGTGAAGTTTGCAATCGGATTTCTCGACAACTCTTCACAGCTCGCTCGGCGAGCTGGCATGCAATGCTGGTGACTGCATGCGTGGGGAATGATGAATACGGGTCAGATGGGCCCCCGGACACGTGTGGCCACCCAGCTGAGTCGAATTAACCCACCACTCCACAAATCACTCCGTGTCGCAGTGGACGATGTGAGGGGACCTCGATCAGCCCCACAGCTCCCGGCCCGCCGTGCGTCGATAACACAGAACGAAGCTGCCGCCGCCAGCATGGCCGGCGCCGATACGCGCCGGGAGGTCCCCCGTCGTGCACCGAATTACAGGCAGTGACCATGCGGTGCCTGTCGGCGACACTTTGGCCACCTCCCCATGAGCTGGGTGAGCTCGGCGGCGATGGAGAACCCCACGGCCGCCTCCCCTATGTGACCGTCCGGCCTTTCTTTCACTGGGTAGGGCAACCCCGTGGGTTGAGTGCTACGGTCAGCCACCCAGCCCCAGCCCTCGCGGCATAGGGTGACCGCGCCCCAGGGCAATGGCCCCCTGCAGGGAAGGAACGCCCCACAGGACCACGCCCCAGGGGATTTCTCGACGACGACCAACTGGTGGAGATGGCCGCGACTGAGAGCCGACATGGGGCCCGCTGATTTTGTTGCAAGGCAAGCCGCAAACGCGACGGGCCACGCACCCACGCATCCGATCGGGCATGGTCGCCGCAGCGCACGAGCAGCAGCCGCGCGACAGTTCCCCCGGCCCGACGAGACCAGTGGGCACCGAGGCCTGCAGCTGCACCGCTCGCGCCAATCGACAGCTTCAACTTCCTTGAACAAGCGCGCGAGCCAAGGCGCAAGGCACTGCCACCGACGCATCAGCAGCATTCGTACCAGTTGCACAGCACAGACCAAGGAGGAGGCCGCGCAACGGACAGGACGAATCAGACGCGCGAGCGCAATCAAGCGCAAGGAGTGCCTTCGAAGCCGCCGCCGGCGACTCCGCCAAGACGCACGGGAACCGCGCCCGACAGTGCCACCACCGATGCAAAAGCGACGCATTCGACCTCGCAACCAATGGTGATAGGCCAGCGCCAGCAGCAGTCACGACTTAGGCACGCTGTTCGACATGGCCCCATTACCTTCGGGGCCCGCACAGGAATGCATGATATCGGAAAGCAGAGAGGTGAGCGGCGCCAGGACTTAATCCAGCGGTTGACCAACATCATCAGCACCAGCCAGCATGACCGTGCATCCAGCGACTTCACGACACGCGCCCGCAAGGCCATGTCGGACTTCTCCGAGAAGATGAGCGACGCGAGCAACACCTTCGAGTTGGACATAGCGCCAGACCCTAACATTCGGCTCGAGTAACATGCGCTACGTGGAGGCGCCACTGAACTACCGCTTCCCATGCGAGGGACAACGCGAGGCTCCGATGTTCCGCGCGGCCGAGCGCCGGACTCACCCCGCCCGGTTTGCGAATCACCGGTTCGCGACGATTCGCGCTTACAAGATGCGCGGTGACTCGCGCGCAATTCCCAGCGCCGAAGCACGCCCAGGTCCACCGAGCTGGCCGCGCGCTACAGACCGGCGCCCACGCCGACGCCCCTTCTATTTAGTCGCTTCTAGAGCATAACTGGGACAGCAGCAATGCAGGAGATTTCCGAGCTCATCGGCCCACAGGACCCGAGACCATGCGCTCCAGAGAACCACGGCGAAAGAGGGCTACCCAAGTCCAGCCAAAAGTTCACCGCGACCCTATCCACTCCGATTTCGACGCAAACGCTGATAGCCAGGCCGATCCGCACATGGCGCGTCGACACCCTGCTCACCTGCGCTGGAGCAACCAACGCGGAATAAGGAACTGATGCGCAGGCAATAGCTCCACAAAGTTCCAACACGTGGGCGCCGGCCAAAGCAGAATTCACAGCGCGGCAGCAACGGCGTCAAACTCAGTAAGTAACGCCAAACGTAGCGGGCGCAAGTGGGCAGCGTAGCCTGCAGGAGGCACGGGGCCTCCCCCTCGCACCCCCCCCCGTGCCGCGCACCGCCACAAGCAGACGACCCCTCCGCCGCGCGCATCGCCAGGCCCCCCCCCAGGCCCGACCGCCTTCATGTCTCGAGCCAAGCCCAGTGCTCCATAGTTTGCACCATCCCCGATCGATCCGAATCACCCCCACCCGGTCCACGCCGTCGTCGCCACGCCGCGGCGCGGCGCCCGCTCGCGCGCTCCCCCCTCTCCAGCCGAGTAGTTCCGCTGGTACAGAGCCTGCCCCCGCGTAAGCGTAGCCTGCTCCTCAATAGTAATCCTCCTCCTCCTCCTCCTCCTCCTCCTGCTCCTGCTCCTGCTCCTGCTCCTCCTCCTGCTCCTGCTCCTGCTCCTGCTCCTCCCCCTCCTCCTCCTTCTCCTCCTGCTCCTCCTCCTCCTCCTTTTCCACCTTCTCCTCCTCCTCCTTTTCCTCCTCCTCCTCCTCCTCTTCTCCTCCCGTTTCCCCTCCTCCTCCTCCTCCCTCTTCTCCTCCTCCTCCTCCTCTTCCTCCTCCTCCTCCTCCTCCTCGTCTTCTCCTCCTCCTCCTCCTCCTCCTCGTCCTCGTCCTCCTCCTCCTCCCCCTCCTCCTCCTCCTCTTCCTCCTCCTCCTCCTCCACGATCCTCCTCCGTCTCCTCATGGCGCCAACCTTGCAGAGCGGATTCCGTTCGGAAAACGATCAGATGGGCCCAGAGTGTCCCAGAGAATCGTGTTCGGATTTCGAGGTGAATTTCGTGCGGATTTTCCTGGTCAGGAATGAAGAGGAACAAAAATCCACGCGGATTTCACTCCGTTTTTCAGTCGCCATTTCGGGATTTTGCATTGACAGAAATCCATTCAAAAATCCGCTGCAGCACGTCTGCAAGGTCGGTGCCAAGATCCTCCTCTTGCCCCTCCTCCTCCTCCTCCTCCTTCTCCTCCTCCTCCTCCTCCTCCTCCTCCTCCTCCTCTTCTTCTCCGATCATCGATCATCGATCATCGATCCCCTCCTCGGCACTCCCTAGTCCTTGCACTCCCCCCCGCCCGGATCCTCCTCCGACCGCTGCCCCTCGACCTCCCACGGGGGGCGGCCACGGCAGTCGGCCCTCCGCGCCGCGCGCCCTCCGCCGCACGCCCCCCCCCCCCGCCCTCCCGCGAGGCTCCACGCCCTGCGGGACCCCGCCGCCGTGGGTGCAGGAACGCCTGAGGCGCGGGGCGCGGCGGGGTGGGCCCGCACGGGGGCTCCCCGGAGGTCCTGGCGACTCGATTCTTTTCGGGCTGGGCGTCTTCGCTCCGGGCCCCCTCCTCCTCCTCCTCCTCCTCCTCCTCCTCCTCCTCCCCTCCTCCTCCTCCTCCTCCTCCTCCTCCTCCCTCCTCCTCCTCCTCCTCCTCCTCCTCCTCCGCGGCCGCCCCGCCCGTCTCGTTCTCCCCTCGTGCACGCTGGGCAGGCCGCTGCTCGGTGTCCCCCCGTTCGGCTCCTCTGCTGGGGCAGCAGCGCTGTCTCGCTGCCGACGAAAAAAAAGTTGCCGCTCCATGTCGGGCCCCGGAACCTTCCCAGATCGATCGGGTTCGAAGAGTGATGCAGAAAGATGGGGCCCCGGGGTCGGTCGTGATTTTCTGCGATGTTGCAGTTGTTCCAACGTCGGGTCTCAGGGGAGGGGGGCTCTGGCCGGCGATGGGGATCGAGGGCAGGTCGGGGTCCTCTGAACCAGGGCCTCGCTAACCCCGAGGCTCTGGAGATGCCATTTCGGGGGGCCCCAGGAATGGAGAACGCTTAGCGAACGCTTCCACCCACGGCCGCAGCTGTCTCGGGCACGCGGATGTCCTGGTTTATCACTGGCCGGCGAGGGGATCGATGGCGGTCGGGGTTCCAGGCCTCCTGGATAGGGTACAAGTAGATGGGGTCGGAGGATCGCGCCGCATCGCCGGTGCATCGCCGATGTGGCTCGATTTTTCTCCGCGTTGGCGACGCCGGCGCACCGCCGGCGTCGCCGATGCATCGCCACTACAGTGGCGACGCATCGGAGAAAGCCGAGTTCCAATCCAAGCCACATGGGCGATGCGTCGGCGATGCGGCGCGATCCTCCGACCCCGTCCACGTGGACCCCACCCAGGATGCCTCGACCCGTATTTCGTACATTCCACTCGGAGAGAACCAGGAGTCGAGAACGCTTCGACCCACGGGTGCAGACGTTTCGGGCGCGCCGGTGTCCTGGTTTGTCCACGCCCCCGTTTCTATGGGGTCCCTGGGCAGATACATGGCTTCGCGGATCGCGGCCGTCGGACGTTGTGGAGCTCCTTTGGGCTTCAGAGGGGCTCCTCGTCGCATTGGCTGGATCCGCCTCGACTGCTGGTCCAAAGGCACCCCAGGAGGGGGGTGGATCTGGCTGGCCAGGAGGAAGAGGAGGAGGAGATCCACGATGTTTGAAGATCCGTGTTGGGAGCTGTTGGGTTGTCTTGGCCCTCAAGGAGTGCCCTCGTCCAGTGGCCCACGACTGAGTTCCCTTCAGAATTGTTCCCACAACGCGCCCCAGGAAGATCTGTCTTGTGAGGAGGAAGAGGTATGGTCGAGGATCGAGGATCGATGTCTCGGGGTGCTTTTCCTACATGATCTGCCTCGACCTTCTGCCCACACAACCCGTACACGCGACGTCTTGACACAATCAAGGCGGAGGGCCCACCTCCAGCGCCAACCCAAGAAATCTGCACGGACCTACGACAGCTTACACTGTGCATGTCGTTCTTCTAGAGAAGGGGGAGGAGGACGAGGATTGAAGATCCAGACCTTCAAGGTCATGTTTGGCGTCTCATGTTCGGCGTGCGGGGGCCGTTTCTGGACTCCAGGACCGTCCAGAAATGATCACGGGCGAAAAACTGGCCCTGCGGGAGTGGTCCAGAGGTATGTGTTGAAATCACGATCCCTTCGTGGGATCGGGCGGGCTTGGTGCTGTCTTGAGGGCTTGGGTTCGCCCTCCACCACATGCCCAGATCCCCGATGTCATGATTTTTCATAACGTCGGCCCTCAGAGGTTTCGACCCATTCCCCGGAAACTGCTTTTCATCCCGAGTTTTTTTTCACAGTCCCGAGGCCCGGGCAGGGCCCCGAGAGGCCCCAAATAGCGAAAACAATTCCGTTGTGTTATTGCTCATGACTCGAGGGGTTCTGGCTCCCCACCCCCCACCGCGTCCCCCGCCCCTCCACCCACATCCCCCTCCCCTCCACGACTCCACTCCGCCCCCCAGGGTTGCCCACGAGCTGTTCTTCCAGAGCCGGCGCTTGGGGCCAAGGCGCGGGGCCCGCCCCGCGTCGGGGGCGGCACTCCGCGCGACGACGGCGACGGCGACGGCCTCGGCGGCCTCCGTTGGTTCTCGGCGCCTGCCCTCGGCGCCCTCTGGTTCTCAGTCGTGTTTCACCGAGCGAGCCCTGTCCCCACCCCCCATCCTGATCCCCACCAGCCCACCAGCCCAGTTGGGGATGCACCCCTCGAAGCCCACAGGGAACATCCGATCTCCCCACCCAGGGGGGTGCAGATCGGCCAGCGGGGCCCAGGCCACGCCGCCAGTGGAGACAGGCATCGGTTAAAGGATGCTCAGGTTCTGCCATCGGCGGCCCTCGTGGCGGCCCTCAGCGAAAGATGAGGCAGCAGTTTGGGGTCGGGAGCATCGCTCGTGGTTTTCGTTCGCGGCGTGTCCTGTGTCTCTTGGAGACATCTGACTTCAGGGGGGGCGGGGGGGGCGGAGCATTGGAGGGCAGGTGGCGGGCTCGGAGGGAGGTTCGGAGCAGCACCTGAGCGCAAATTGCCGATCTCTAGCATTCCCGATGAGTGGCATATATTCGAAGAACCAGGTACGGCAGAACTTTCCTCGCCAACCATGCGTGCAGCGGGTGCATCACGATATGGTTTCCTGACGGTCGCCCCACTGGCCTGGGTCTTTGAAGGCCCAAACTGATAGGAGAAATACTGGTCGTCACGCTCTTGCTGTCGTGACGAAGAAATCCGGTGGCGAGGAGGGGTCGACGATGGTCGGTTGGCTGATAGTGCGCGGGTGGTGGCGTCAGCGACGGGCCGGACCTGGCTCAGCCCCTTCCCGCGATGAGCTGACAGAAAGCATCACCATTCCTTGATGGGGTATGTGGCAGCGGCACCGCAAGGCCCCCAGACCTTCGGCATAGTCCTCTCTTCTCGTTCCCGCCATCTGCCCCGAATCCCCCATAAGATCATCCGTCCCCTTGCCACCAGCGTCGTGTTGTGTTCACGTCGTCGGCCCCCCCGAGCTCTCGACTCTCTTCCCTGTTAGCGGTGTTTCGCCACGGTTCGTTATTCACGCTTGCGGTCCCGACTTTTTTCTGTTTTAGCCGCAGGGGGGATCTGCTCGGACCCGTACATCGATCCGGGTCAAAGAAGCTGTCCCCACAGGGAGTGGTCGAGAGGTCTTCGGCCTGGAGATTTGACAACAAAAGAAAAACACAGCGTCGGAGGCCTTGGTAGACCGATGCGGACCGACGACTGCGACGCCGACGGCGACGATGGCAACGATGCGAGCCGCGTGTTGATTCCACCTGCTCGGGTCAAGGGCCCCCTGGAAGTCCCGACCCTTTTCCAGGGCTGGTATCTCACCCTGCACCGTTATCTGACGGCCCCGGAAACTGTCCCTGGACCATGAAAGCGGCAATCTAATTTCCGCGTCGTTCTTTCAAAACGATCGAGCTCTGTGGGTTCGTCCCCAATTTCCTCCGACACCACGCTTTTTTTCGCTACATGGGCAGGGATCTCGACCCCTTCTTCAGGGCCGGCTTTTCATCCTGATTTGTTTTTTGACGATCCCAGGGCCAGGAAATAGAAATCACTGGCTGCAAGCGTCAAACAATTGTTGCCGCAATTGTTTCGCACCGCCTTGACCTGAATCAGCCCTTGTACAGATGCAAATCGGCGGCGAGTCCGGGGGGAAATGAGAAGGAGAAGGCCTTCTCAGGAGGTTTGGAAGTCCCCCGGCCTTCCGAGAAGTGTTTAAAACCGTCCCAAAGCCACAGCAATTTTTTCAGCAGGCGCGAGGGCTTCTGAGAAGTCCCGCCGCCTCCTGAGAAGGCGGCCTTCCCCTTCTCACTCCCCCCCTCTGGGGAGACTAATAGGTACCGATGCAATACCGCTACTCCCAGGACCTTTCCTGGGGTGCGTTCTGACCATCGAGGCGAATCCAGCGGTGGCGACGAGGGCCTCCCAAGAGGCCGAAGGAAAAGGAAAACGGGCCAAAGGCTGGCGGTCGTAATTCGCCGCCAGAACAGGATATTATATATATATATATATATATATATATATATTCGGGACGGAACGCACGCCTCGCTCGCCGCAGAGGAAAGCCAGCCGCCCAGGTGCGCTTTTTTTTTATTCGGCGTGTCGACATTGGGCGGAAAGCGGGGGGGGGGTCTGGCTCCAGACCTATGCGTAGTGCGACTGTTTGCACGACTGCTGCCTCTGGGGGAGACCCCACCCGCTCGAAGCAGGCGCCAAAAACGGCCAAGGTCTACTCCATGGGAGGGAGGGGGGGTGCGAGGGCCCGCGCGGATCGGCAAGACAATGATACAAAAACGATCACCGGCGACACGGACCGCCAACACGGACCGCCAAAATGAACAATTTGGGGCGGGGGTGCCGTGGCTTATTTTTCGCCGGATGTCTCCGGCCACACCGACGAAACCGCTCATTTTTGGTAAATTGCTAGACGTATTTTGGAACAGGGTGTGGCGTATGTCATTGTTCCGATCCCCCTCCGGGAATGCTTGAGTTTTTTTAGCTTCGCTTTGGAAAATTCCAAACCGCTCTGTTTTGGATGCGTTTCCGGAGTCATTTTTAGCAGCCGTGCTTCTGGGAATCCCCCTTGCTATTCGCATGCAACTCCTGTGAGGTCAAGTTCTGATTGCTCCCTGGTCCGAAACTTGGCTTAATCCCGTTTAAAATCCCGCTGATTCCAGCTTGCTCCCGCTCAATTCCGCTTTCTCAATCCGGCTGACTCCGAGGCCCTCCCCAGCGCAACAGCCCCCTCCAATGGGGCATTCATCTCCTTTGATTTTTTGTCCGACGAAAGCCTCCCAGTAATTGCCTCCAAAGTGCCAGCAGAGCAAATCGGGTTGCGCGAAAGGGGGGGTTTGGGAAAGGGGGGGTTACGAAATCTGCTGCATGCAGCTGGTTTCGGCCCCACCGAGGGGCCCGTTCCTCGATACATGGGCGCCTCCCGGCGCCGGGAGGCGCCGGGAAAATCAGCTACGTGAGCTGATTCTCAACCCCCCCCTTTGCTATCCCCCCCTTTCGCCCGGCCCGAGCAAAGCCGGCCAAATCCCGTTTAAAATCCAGCTGAATCCAGCTTACTCCCGCTCAATTCCGCTCAATCAATCCGGCTGACTCCGAGGCCCTCTCCAGCGCAACAGCCCCCTCCAATGGGGCTCCATCTCCAATTTTTTGCCGACGAAAGCCTCCCAGTAGTTGCCTCCTGAGCGCCAGCAGAGCAAAGCCGGCCGCCCAGCGACACGGACCACGGCATGCCGTGGGTCCTCCTGCAGAGCGCCGGGCACCTGGTGGAGGTCGGCTCCGGGCTCGAGGGGCTCGAGGCCGAGGCGGACCGCCGAGGCCCGCGGGGTCGCGGGGGCCCTCCAGCCTCTCGGGTGTTGCTCTCCTCCTCCGGCCCCCTCCTCCTCCCCCTCCTCCTCCTCTCCTCCTCCTCCTCCTCCTCCTCCTTCCCCCTCCTCCTCCCCCTCCTCCTCCTCCTCCTCCTCCTCCTCCTCCTCCTCCTCCTCCCTCCTCCTCCTCCCCAGCTTGTCGCTCCACTTGGAAGCCCCCATGGGGCCCTCTGGGCCTCGTGACGGGGTGCTCTGAAGGCCGCCTGGGCCACCCCGAGGATGCTGGGGGTGCCCTGGGCCAGGGGCGCTTCTGGCAACACCCGAGCCTCTGGCATTACAGTGGGCGGCCTGCATAAGGAACACGTGCTTTTCAAGAGGGGCTCGGTCGTTCCTTAGGTTCGCATGCGTTGAATGGTCGCCCCCTATGCGTTATCTATAATGTTTTGTCCCTCATACGTTCTTCCTTGAAAAAAGGCTTCGTTCCTTATCTACTTATCTATCGTTCCTGAAGTCAGGCCGATGACTGTAAGTCGGGCATGCCCCTGCACAGGAGGAGTGCGCAAGAATAGTCAGAGAACACTCTCGTGGCGATCTTTCGTGTTCTTTTTGGGCTTTATGTTTTTTTGACTATGTTCCATTTTTCTTTCGAAGCCTGCCTGTAGGAGGACATGCCCGACCTGACTCTAGCATGAAGGAAGAGGGTCCTGGAGGAAGGGGATCCTGCACGGTTCTCGCCGTTGTCGGAGCCCAGGGGCCCTCCACTGGCCCCAGGAACGTCAGGAGGCTACTCGGGGTGAAGAAGTGCACGTGGGGAACGCCCCGGGGCCTAGGACCCCAGGACCACTGCCCCTCATGGCGGCACGGATGCCGCTTCCCGGCCCCAGGGCCGTCAAAGAGTTGGCTCGGGCTGACGAGAAACGGCCCCGGAGAAGGGGTCGAGTTCCCGGGTGACGATCAGCACGGAGGAGAGGGGACATCGCGAGCGACGGCGGAGAGGGGGAGGAGGGGGAGGAGGAGAGGAGGAGGAGGATGAGGAGGAGGAGGAGAGGAGGAGGAGGAGGAGGAGGAGGAGGAGGAGGGGGAGGAGGAGAAGGAGGAGAAGGAGGAGCAGGCGGCGGCGGAGGAGGGGACATCGCGAGCGACGGCGAGGCCCCCCCTCTAGTGTATGGCCACTCAGTCTTCGTCTCCGACGCGCAGTGCCGTCACTCCGGGTGGCTCCAACAGGGGGTCCAGCTGCACGGGGGTGGTGCAGTAGAGTTGGGCCAGCTGGAGATTGCAAACGTGTTGCGCCGGAGAGTCGTACTGCATTGTGCTGCAAGCAGTGTGCTGCGCGCGAGAATCCAGCAGTACACCTGCGCCCGGGAATGTACGGCATGCCCGAACGCAGTGCAGCCCCACAAAGATCTACTGCACCACATCTATTGCACCACCCTCTTGTCGCTGGACCCCCCTCTAGGGTCCACCAGACGTCGCCTCGCGCGGGCGGCCGCCAGTGCACCACGCGGCGTGGTGATTCTAATGAGGGTGGATTTTCTGCCCAGGAGGAGGAGGAGACGGAGGAGGAGCGAGGAGGAGGAGGAGGAGGACCATCGCACAGATTGAAAGGGTTCGACTGTTAGCAGATCTGCTGATGCTGCTGCTGCTGCTGTTCACTCTCCCCCCCGCTCGGTTGGCCTGGGGTGGGCGCAGCGGCAGCGGCGGCCTCCTTCATCTCGGCCATCTCTTGGGCCTGGCGCTGGAGGTACTGGTGGAGCGGCATCGGCCGCTCGAACTCTATGGGCGAATTCCTGGAGCCTCTCGGATTCCTGCCTTCTAGCAGGAGGTTCCACTGGGTGCGGTCACCTGGTCTGACGTACCTATCGGCACACCCAGAATTGAGGGACCGCACATCCGATTCGGCGAATTTCCCACAACGACGACAGGCGACGATGAACGACCCCCCTCTGTGCTGCTCGCAAATGAACAGCGCATGCCCTTGCGGGTTACTGCACAAAACAGCAAGCGCCTGAGAATAGCCTGGACAGGTGCCAGGCTTCTTGGTTGCCGCTCTGACGCGGCAGTCGATGCACAAGAAACGCTTCCCTGAGACCTCCCACCTGTGCCCCCGCGTCACCCCACGAGGTCTGGCGGGACGGGAGGCCGCGGGAGGAGGCGGAGGGGGCGGAGGGTGGGGCGGCTTCCAAACCTTCTGAATAGAAGCCGCGCCGACTGGCGGGGACAGTGACTTGGCTGGCTTCTTGTAAGCCTTCTTGGTCTTACTGGGGCGAGATTATTGTTCGCATTGCAGAGCCCGTGCTGCCGTGTTGTGGTAAAACGTGTTTCGCTTGTGCTACACATTGTGATTGGTGTTTGGAATGTCCAAATGCGCGCCAGGTCGGGGTGGCCAGTGGCGCCGCCCCCGTGTCCTAATTTCCAGTTCCGCGGAAGTCCGACGCACACTTGTAAGTGTTGTGCCAGCGCGAGCGCGCGAAGATTCGCAAAGACAGTGAACATGCGCCGCGCGTCATCACAAGTTAACGTGGCATCCTGGCTCAGATAGGCAGCACGACAACGCGTCATGTGGAATTACGCGTCGTCGTCGTTTTCCCTCCTCCTGCTGCTCCTCCCCTTGTCGTCGACGTGAGATGCGAGAACCCGCCGTGTCAGATTCCATGACAGGGTGTACCAAAACGCTCACGTGCATGAACAAAATGGTCATGACAGACGTTTCGACACAAATCTTCGCAGCGGATGGCTTAGCCGACATTGTTCGAGGTGGGTCATATGCGATTGTGCATGTTCGAGCCCGTGCTGAGCACATGTCACAGCGTTTCCCAGAAGTCGCGAAATACGTTGATGTTGCACCCGATCCTCCCGGCGATGGTGCTCTGTACACTGCCCCATATCATTCAGACGATAACGTGTTGCCGACCGAGGGAATTGTTATCCAGAGCGAGAGCGAGAGTCAGCAGATTTTCCGGCAGCCAAGGAGCATTTCTTTGGGAGGATTGTTCACATATTGGGAAGGCCTTGCGGCCGGTGCCGCCGACCCTGGAGGGGGATGACGACAACGACGACGGAGGCAGCGGCGACGGCGACGGCGACGGCGCTGACTCTCTGGAGGCCTTCTTGGGACTCTCTTGGGAGCCTGTTGAGCTCTGTTGGGGGGGCCTCTTGGAGGACGTCTTGGGAGTCTCTGTGGTCGTTTGGGGCCGTCCCGGAGCGGATCTGAGGCCTCTTGGAGGCACGTGGGGAGGTATACGCAACACCCCGCAAGAGCCGAGAACGATGAGGCGGGTGCCTCCGGAGGGGGAAGGCCCAGGAGGACAAGGGGGGTTATTGGGGGGGGCGGGGGGGAGAATGGGTGTCAGCTCCCCTGCCCACAGAGAGGCCGCATCCTTTGTCCTTTTTCCTCCACCGGCGAGGCCCCCCAGGGCGAGCGGGGCCGCGGCCCCAGGGACCCCCCGCCGGGACCTCCCCGCTGGGCCTGCCTCCCCTGGCCTACCCCTCGGCCCCCCCCCCCGCTGCTGCCTCCCCCGGGGCCCTCCTGGGCCCCCCCCCCCCCGCTCTCCCCCTCCTCCCCTCCTTGGGAACCCCCTCCTTGGGAACCCCCTCCCCCCTCCTCCCCCCCGCTCTCCCCCAGGACCCTCCTTGGGACCCCCCTCCTTGGGACCCCCCCCCCGCCCTCCTTCCCTCTCCCCTGCGCGTCAGGACAGGGACCACAGGCCAAGCGCAGCGTGATCTGATTCCCGCTTGGCTGGACCGCTCGAGGAGGAGGGCCCGGGGCACGAGGGGGAGCGGCGACGGCGACGACGGCGATGACCCAAGCAGAAAAACGTTCCACACACGCCGAAGGGGTCGGCGGATTTCTGGGACGGGTTCGGAGCAGGAGATACTAACGATCGCGCGCACTCATTCTACATCAGGCCTTTGATAGTCCACGCCACTACGCATGTAATTGCAGACGGTGTTTGGCAACGGTGTTCGGCAGAACAACGTAGACCACCGCCCCGAGCACAACCACCAGAAGCCATTACAGGATGCGCATGCGCACGTTCTAGCGCAACAGTGTGATGCGCATGACAGCGACTTGCGTTCAAACCCGCAGTCGTGGGTTGGTTGGCCGAGTTCCCTTTCGATGGGCTTGCTTATGCTTATTATTCCTCTTCTTCTTTTTCTTCGCAACGGGCGCGAAGGCAGCGATGCATCTTGGCGTATCCAAATGGGGCAGCGCTACGACAAAAGGAACGCGCGGCGCCATCGCCAACTTTCTGTGCGTCGTCTTGGACCACGGCACCGTCGGCAGTACACCGAACGCGTTTAGAGCCATTGCGTTACCAACGGGAATTGCCACAATGTTCCACCCGAAGGCCTTGGGCCAAAAAAGGTGGTCGTCCAATATCCGTACCACGCGTTGGATAATGCAAGACACATGTTTCGTTGTTGCTACGCTTTTGGCTCCGTACCATGAGTTCTCTGCTCCGTACTACGGATCCTGGGTCTTCCGCTGCACGCCCTTCTCCCTCGTCCCTGCTCCTCATATTTTCCCTGGCCCCCCCTCTACCTCGCTCCTCCGCCTTCCTCTTCGCTCTTCCCTCTCCTCCCCACCTCCTCTGGTACCTGCCTTCTCTTGTCCCTCGCCTTGCCCCGCTCTCGTCCTCCTCCTCCTCCTCCTCCTCCTCCTCCTCCTCCTCCTCCCCGCTTCTGCCTCGTCTCGGCGTCCGCCCTCCTCCTCTGCCGAATTGTCGTCGCCATGAGCATCCCCAGGTCGTCATTTCACCTCCCACTTCAATAACATGCGCCTCCTAGTCCATTCAAGCCCCTCCCGCCGACAGCGTCAGTACTGTCAAAGCTGACTTCGGTAGTGCATCGCTATGTCGGGGGCGGGCGTTTTCGTTTCTCCCCTGTTGCTTTCAGCGCCGGCGCATCGGTTCTATTTTGTATGCGCACTGGACAACACGTTTCATTATATCGCCAGATCCGCATGAGATGCAGAGGGCGGCGAAGCAGAATTGGTACGGCATTTGCACGGATGTAGAGGTAGATGGCGAAACGTTGTGGGTAGTGTGTCAAGTACTTATGTCTCGGCAAGCCCGGCACGTCATATTCTTCATTAACTGAGTTTCGGCCTTTTTTTGTTTTGTTTTTTTATTATGATTATTATGAATATGTTTCAACCGATTTTTACAACCAATTCTGTTCAACCAAAAAACAAAAAAAACAAATGAGTTTCGGCGCTCCAGCGCCTCCGCCGAGCCCACGTGAGTCCAGCTGCGTGTCACCTTTTTGAGGCCATGGCATCCACGCCGTGCCCTGATGGCCAGGGGCGGGCTCCCCAGAGGAGCGCGCAAGATTCCGGCGTTCGCTTCGTTTCGCTTCACTTGCCCTTGTCGTTGACTTCCTCATTCCCCTCCTCCTCCTCCTCCTTCTTCCCCTGCTCCTCCTTCCTCCCCTCCTCCTCCTCCTCCTCCTCCCCCCCTCCCTTCTCCTCCTCCTCCCTCCTCCTCCTCCTCCTCCTCCTCCTCCTCCTCCTCCTCCTCCTCCTCCTCTCCCTCCTCCTCCTCCTCGTGGCATCCTCCTCATGCCTGCCTGCCATCCCGCCCTTCTGCTGGAGGCGGCCGATAGAGAGACCTCTCCGCGGGAAGGGCCCCGCCCGGCCCAGACAGCCCTGCCATGATTTGTTCCACGCGGGGCCCTGATTTGTTCCATTTGTGCTTCCTCCTCCTTCTCCTCCTCCTCCTCCTCCTTCTCATCTTCCTCCTCCTTCTCCTTCTCCTCCTCTTCGTCCTCCTCCTCCTCCTCCTCCTTCCTCTCCTGTTGTGCTTCCTCTTCCTCCTCCTCCTCCTCCTCCTCCTCCTCCTCCTCCTTGACACACTCGTGCTCGTCTTTTTGCGGCTTATTCTTCCTCTCTCCTCTTGCTGTGCCCGCTGTCGTCATCGTCCTCCTCCCCCTCAGGCCCCTGCTTTTTCCTCCTCATCATTCCTCTCAGCGCTTGCGTTGTCGACGCCCGGGTGAACACCACAGCCCTCCCATCTTGTACTCGTAACTCCGATAACGGCAACGAGATCCGTAGACCGCCACCGCCCTGTTATCCGTTTGCCTTTGCTTCCTGCCGCTTCCGCCCTTTCCTCCCCCCTCGTCCTCCTTGCGCTGCTCGTCCCTCCGCCTCATCCTCCTGCAGCGACGTCCGACCCGGGGACGGTTCCGACACGGTGCCCGCTGCCTTCGTCTCGTCCTCACCCTCCCCGCCCTCTCCGCGCTGCCCCTCCCCGTCCTCACCCGCCCAGGCGCTCGCAGCCTCGCCGCGCCCGCTCCCCCCCCCCCGCGCAGGGACGGCGAGGACGTCGAAACGCCTCGCCCTCCCTGCGCATGCCGTAAGCCGTCCCTCCCCCAGCCCAGACTCAAGTCGCGCACGCCCCCTCTAATTACAGGAGGAATGCTCAACAGTAGTGAACACATAGCCTGGGGATGATGTTTGTTCTTCTTTTGTGGCCAGAAACTGATTCGTTTTGACTGTCTTGTCGTTCTTCGAAACAAAACGCCTGTAAGAGGACATGCCCGACCTAAGCGCAGATCCCTCGGCCGTCTTTCCCCTCCTCGAGTTCGCGGTGGCATCGGCGACGACGACGGCGGCGACGTCGGCGACGACGGCGACGACGACGACCGCCCTCGCCTGGCAGGCAAGGCCCACGCCAGCTTCGCGCACACTGCCGGCTTGGAGGCGACAGGCTCCATGCGCCCGCGGCGCTGCCCCCCCCCCCCACGCCCCTTGAGGGGCTCTGGCCCGCCGGCGGATGCCATCACATCCAAGTTAGTCGTCGGTGGCGCCGCCGCCGCCGCCGTCGCCGTCGTCGTCGTCGCCGCCGTCGCCGTCGCCGTCGTTTTCGTCGACGTCATCGTCGCCGCCGTCGTCGTCGTCGTCGTCCTGGTCGTATCCCTCGCCGTCGTCGTCGTCTCCGTCGCCCCTCGCCCCCCGGCTATAGCAGGGCCCCTGGTAAGGGCAGCCGGTGAGTGATGGTCCGAGGCGGGGATTTGATTCATAACCACCGCCTGGGGGATCGATCTTCGGGGACCTCGGCAGGCGGTGGATAACTATATTTGGGCCCCCCGGGGCCCATACATATGTGTATACATATATATATATATATATGTATATGGTTATAAAAACATCCCTTCTGCCCATGAAGTTACAAGGAAACATCGGCATGTCACCCCCCCGGGGGGGGAGGTATACGCCTTCGGCCCCCCCCCTAATGGCCGAAGAGGCCCCCAAGAGAGCTGAGCCCCAGGAGGACGAGGCGGAGGTCGACGAAGAAGAGATGTATGAGATGGAGGAGGGCGAGGCGGAGGAGAAGGTGGAGGGTGGAGCAGCAGCAGGAGAAATGGGAGGAGGAGGAGGAGGAGGAGGAGGAGGAGGAGGAGGAGGAGCAGCAGACAGGGGAGGAGACGGAGGAGGAGCAGAAAGGGAAAGTTCGAGGAGGAGAAAGCGGAGGAGGAGGATAAGGAGGAGGGCGAGGAGGACGAGATGGAGAAAGGGCAGAAATCGACGAGAGGGCTGAGGTGGAGGAGGAGGAGGAGGAGGAGGAGGAGGTGGGCTAGGCTGAGGAGGTGAGGGTGCTCTCGACCCTGCCCATGCCCTACCCCGCACTGCATGCACCCCAGAGGGTTGGGAAGGATGCACGGGCAGTGGGCATGCGCCCCCCCACCTCCGCCCGAGCCGCTCGCCGTCCCCGCTTCTACCCGACCCTGGCAGCGACAACTTCGACGAACGACGACGCCGACGACGACGACGACGACGACGACGGCGACGACGACGACGACGACGACGACGACGGCGGCGGCGGCGGCGGCGACGACGACGACGGCGACGACGACGACCACGGCGACGGCGACGACGACGACGACGGCGACGACGACGACGGCGGCGACCACGGCGGCGACGGCGGCGGCGGCGACGGCTTGACGGCGACGTCGACCGCCTCCGCAGCGAACGCCAATTTCCTGGCGAAGCTCGGCGTCCCCGCGCAGTGCCTGCGCCAGGACGTCCTCAGCTACAACACGCTGAGCAACGCCTACCACGCGCGGGCCCGCTTCGTGGAGCCCTGGAAGTTCCGGCCCCAGGGCAGTCTGTGGATCGGCGGAGCGCTCCGGGGGGAAGGCTGCCAGACTTCATCTCGTGGCCGCCGTGGCCAGCCTGCCACCGCCGCGCACTGAAGTTCCAAACGGTGCCACGACGCGCCAAGAGCGTGCCGAGATGAGCGGTCAGAAGCCGCCTTCCGAACGGGCAATCGGGTTCTTCTCCCGCTTCACCTCCTCCTCCTTCAGAGCACGCTGGTCAGGCCGCCCTTTAGACATGCTGGAGAATGAGCAGCGACGTTTAAGCAAGCTGTGGCATGCACGGCCTGCTGAGCCCGACCTTTTGCAGGCTGAGGTGCGAGGTGGAGACCTCGCTGACGCTTTGCCAGAGAAGCTTCGAGTTGCCAGCCGCAGTTTCAGCAGCTCCACAGCTAGGACTTGGGACGGGATCTTCCCTAGGGAATTCAGGCTCCTGGAGGACGCCCAACTGGATACTGGTCGTAAGCTCCTCAGAGCCATTGAGAAGGTAGGCGCTTTCCCGACGCATATCAGGGCCATCGTCAGGGTCCCCATCGAAAAGCACAAGCCAGGTCCCAACCCAGGTCCCAGTTATCATGGTTTTGGTATGTTGCCAGGCCTCTGGGGAGTCTGGGGTAAGCACCGCCAGCTGGAGTTCAAAGCTTGGGAGCATGCCCATCCTCGGAGATATCTAGCACATCAAGCGGGGACAGGAGTTCTAGAGGTGGTTATCGAGCAAGCAATGCAAGCTGAAGGGTATTTCTTGGGCGCCAAGAAGATGTTCATTGCTGCGGTCCTCTTGGGACCATTCTAATTATTGCGAGTGCATCGATCGCGAAATCTGGAGGGACAGGGCCCAGGATACTGGTTTCTCGGACTCGCTCGCCGTCCTCATTTGCAATCACTACCAGGCGCCGAGGATCGTCGCTACCCGTGCCTCAGCTCTTCCTGCAAGTTGCCCAGGCCCAGGCATAGCAGCAGGGTGCTGGGCAGCTACCTTTGTTGTGCAGCAGTCTTGTTTGCCGCCCATAGACATCTGGGTTGCCCAATGTCCGAGAGTACAGCCGACCATGTTCATTGATGCTATCATGTTGGCCAGTGACAACAGCACACCCAACATATTAATCGCCGATTTTGCCACGGCCTCAGCCAACATGCATCAATCGACCGTTGTGGATCCGAAATCTGGCCCGGCAGAACTAGCCGCCGCCAACTTAGGAGCCCACTTCACTGCAGGATCCAGGCTAGGGAGCAAGGGCCGTAAGACCTTAAAACGGACGAGTAGCGAAGTTGAAACATCGTCCTCGTGGATTGCGAGTTCTGCGTGCAGCTGGCTCCGACACACTGAAGATTTGGAAGACTGGTCTCCAGCAGGCTAGGTATTTTTGGAGCCGAAATGCTAAGTCTTACCGCTCAGGGGTTCCAGGAAGCACAAAATCTTGTCCTGAAGGTCGCGGGGCCCAGCTGTGCTACCCGATCGTGGGCGTCTCCACTGGCTGTTCTCGAGGGCCTCACCTGGAGATCTGCGCTGGGATCGTGTATGTATTGGAGCATGATTGTTTCCAGGGCCGCCCAGGGCCCCAAGACATCTGACTTGAGGTTCCCTGAACTTTGACGACTCGCAACAGGTGTCCTCGATGAGCCTCCTTTGGGATGGGGTCACAGCAGGGGTCCTGTTGGAGCTGTAAATTCAAGTTTGCCCAAAGTCAGCTTGCTGTGGACCAGCCCGATGATGTTCATCAGCAAGAATGGCGAAACCTATCCGCGCACAACCACCTCGCTAGCTCTTCTTTTGTCGGATGCTTGCGACAGCGTGGCAGGAGCAGTTGGCAGACCAGGCCGCTCAGAAAATTAGAGTTGATGCAGTTGACTTGTCTCGCGCCCGAGCAGCGCTGGCGGACGAAAAACTGACCGGACAGGAACGCAGCTTCCTCGTGTTTTACCTGGCCCATTCGAGCTAGACCAAGGGCACGCTCAACGACGCAGCGTTCGACATGGACACTAATTGTATATGCGGGGGCCCAGGGATCATATCTTCCACAGGCCCCTGGAGTGCCCCAGCAGCGCTGAGCTTAGGGATGAAAGTCTGGAGGGAAGTCATGTTGAAGCACTGAATGACCCCCTAGCTTTTTGCCATTTGTGCTGGTTGTCCTGAGCCTCTCCCTCTTTCGGATCCCGAGGCCGCTCGGCTTCAGTTGAGCAGAGGCTGTTTTCTGGTCCCGTGAAGGGCTTTCGCACGGAGTCGACGGCAGTGTGGCCAAGGACGGGCACCCAAACCTTGACGCCCCAGGATGGCCCATGGTCACGCGTGGTGCCCGCGGGGAGGTTACAGCTGACGTCTGTGGGCCAGTAGGTAGAGGCCTGCCGCCTATGTCCCCAGCAGCAGAATTGCTAGCGTTTCCTAGCCAGCAGCAAGTACAGAGGAGTGACCAAGATACATTCACACTTCAAAGGGGTAGCGGCATGCCACTAAGCCAGCCAGTAGGAAGAATCTGTTTAACGGGCTCGGTTATATGGCCAAGCTCGGTGGGGCCAGATGGGACGGGGATTTTGATGTCGTCAAGGTCAAGGCCAACCAGAACCTTGATTCCCTCGAGCGATACTCTGACCGGAGGAGGCACGCCTCAGGGCATGATGCTGCCGGCCGAATTGCCACGCTTGCCGCCTCCCGCCTGCCCCAGCTTTCTCAAGCCGAGAGGGCAGCTCAGCTGCTGCTCGTCGTCGCCCCTAGGGACGGCGGGGCAAGCCTTGGAAGCCCCAGTCCAGGCCACCAGCCCAGCTGTCGGTGCTCACCACGTCTGGACCTGGCAGAAAGCTCGCTGGTTTTGCTGCCTCTGCCACTCGCGGTGCCTGAGCGACAAGACTAAGAAGGATCGAGCCAGGGAGCGTTGTCCTGGGGATGCTGCTGCCTTAGCCAAGCTAGCGCTCCAGCTAAGCGGCCATGTACTTTCGGTGTTTGATCTTTTAGAGAATGGCAGTTTCATTGTTGCATGTAAGATGTGTGCCACTGATTCCGAATGTATTTAGAAAATGCCTCCATGAGGGATGCTTCAAGAAGTTCAATTTAATGTTTCAAGCATCGCTTACGAGCGGCTCATGGAGGGGCGGCACACGAGGTCCTCAAAACAATGCCCGGTTGTTTTCTGCCCCCAATCCCAATTTCAGAAGTTGCCCAACAGGCAACCCAAGCGCTCGAGTCGCCATAGCGGATCTCCGAAGCCGTGCAATGGTCCTCCTTCCCCTCCTCCTCCTGCTCTTCCTTCTCCCTCTCTTTCCATTTTCCATTCCCTCCCCTCCCTTCCCTTCTCCCCTTTCCTCCGAGCCGTCATCCGAGCGGGCATCTGTTCTTCCTCCTCCTCCTCCTCCTCCTCCTCCTCCTCTACCCCCTCCTCCTCCTCCTCCTCCTCCTCCTCCTCCTCCTCCTCCTCCTCCTCCTCCTCCTCCTCCTCCTCCTCCTCCTCCTCCTCCTCCTCCTCCTCCTCCCCCCCACACAGCCTCCTCAATGGCGGCCGTGGCCCCAGCAGCGGCCGCGGCCTTGCTGTGGGGCGCGCGGGGGCCCGGCCGGCCCGGGCTCGGCCGCGCGCCGCGCGCTGGGCGTGCGCCCGGGGGAGGGCGACGGGCAGCAAGGAGGAGGAGGAGCAGGAGGAGGAGGGGGTAGAGGAGGAGGCGGAGGAGGAGGAGGAGGAGGACGAGTTCGAGGCCCATCGCAAAGATCGTGAAGGAGACGTTCGGGCTTCGGCGCGGCCAGCGCTGTGGAGCCCGTATCGAAAGGCTCGAAAGGACGAGTTCGAGGAGGAGGAGGAGGACGAGTAGGAGTACGTAGGGGGAGGAGGAAGAAGTGGACGGTGCGGAAAGGCCTGGTGCCGTTGGAGCAGCAGGCGGCGGACGGGGGCTTTGCCCGGCGCGGCTTTGAGGGTGCGCCCCCCGTTCGCCACCTTCGGGTGCAACTCCTGGGAGGTCGAATTATGATGTTGCCCTTGTCCGAAATCCGGCTTATAATCTTGCCCAATCCGACTTAGTCCGGTTCGATCCCGCTGAATCCCGTTTAACCCCGCTCAATCCGCGGCCCAATCCACCGTAGCAGCTCTCCCATGGTGCTCAATCGTCTTCAGTCCTTCCGACGAAGGCCTCCCTGCAGTCACCTCCTATCGCAGGCCTAGAGGTTGACACCAGCACCAATCTCGGCGGTGTACCCCAACCGAGGGAAGACGATGACGGTCCAGGTGATGGTGGTCATCTTTGGGCTTCCCAGGTTGTCGAATTTGTGTCACCAGCGCCGAAAACTAGGATCATCTTCCCCTGGTAGCGGCACACCCATGTGTTTGTGTGGATGCCCACTTCCAAGCATTTAATCATATTAATTACCTCCGTCGAACTTAACTTCAAAAGTGGCGAACACGCCCCTGCGATGTCGGCGCGCCCTTCAATGTCGATAGACGCCCTTCCAATGTCAGGCGCAAGGCAAACGCGGTCTGACCTGGAGCGATTCGGAAGCTCGACGATGACCGACATTGGAGGGGCGGCGCATGCAAGTACTTCTCAGTTATCACTACTCCTGTCCACTATCTCCCCACAAACAGTTCAGCCACGTAAGAAATTCCGGAGGTTAATTTTGACGAGGGTTGTAGGATCATCTTCCCCTGGTAGAGGCGCACCCCTATGTTGGTGTGGATGCCTATTTCCAAGCCTCCAATCCTGGGCCGCACCGCCGCGCCCACGCCGAGCAGACCCCGCGCGATCGAGCCGAGCCTGACTGCGCACGTGCCCGCCGGGCCGAAGGGGCGCTGAGCGGGCGCGGCGCGCATCGAGAGCGCGCTTCTGCGACTCGAGAACGCGGGCGCACGTCGTGCGCAGACACAGGCGGAGGCGGCGGCGGCGGCGGCCCCCGCCTACCAGACCCCCGTCGCGGGAATCTCCCGCTCCGCTGCGCCGGGCCGCCACGGCCTCGACCCCGGCCTGGGGAGCGCACGGCAGGAGGCGAGAGGCGCCCCGGCAGCCCGCCCCCCCAAAAGTGTATGCTTAAGTTGGACCTGTCCCTCTACAGGGGGGATGTTCAAAGATAGTCCAGAATAGTCTCGGGACGATTTATGGATCATTTTTGTTATGTTTATAAAAACAGTGGGGGTATTTTTATTTGTCGTCCCAAATCTGCCTGTAGGGGGACATGCCCGATTTCAGAGTACGCTTATTCCCCAATCGGTGCTTGCACCGAACGGGTCCTGGTGGAAATTGACAGACTTGGCGAAAGTTTCCCGCCGATTATGGTAGCCAGTTGGGTTCCTGGGTTCCCGGTTCCTGGTTCTGGGGTTCCTGGGCACTGGTTCCAGGCCGGTTTCGGTGGGTTCCAGGTTCCCGGGTTCCGGTCGATCCCCTTATCGATCAAACCATCAGCTGATTGGGGATTCTTCTACCTTTGCGAAGAAGAATAAGAAGAATCATCAACGCCAGAAACAACGCCCCCAGAAACAACGCCCCACCTCTTCGAAGAAGAGAAAAGTGCATAATCATAAATGTTTGGCGCTCCGCGCGGATTTCTTCGATCCGCGCTGGGCCCCCCACGCGGCGCCTCCGGCGCAGATCCAAAACATCCGCGCGGAGCGCTAGAAGTTTATGTTTATGGCGTCGATTCCTCTTCTACCTCTGCCGCTCCCTTGGCCCCGTCGCGCTTCCCTTGCCAACTCGCCTTGGTCCTCTCCGCCCGTGCTCAGACAAAGGGCCCAGACCCCCTCGAGCCATGGCAAAAATCCAGACGGGAGGTGCTTCCCTACTTTCGGCCGCTGGGGGCCCCTACCGGGCCTCGGGACCGTCGGGAAACGATTCAGGATGAAAAGCCTGTCATGGGGAATGGGTCGGGCCCTGTGGGGGT